TATTCAGAAGTGCGCTGATTCCATACATATTGAAAAATTTATTTGCAGTGTGTTTTCCCAAATATAAGCTAGATAATGACCATATGTTAGGGATCTAAGCCCCCATGTGTCATGTTGTTCTTAAAATTATGATTTTGCATTTGTAGAATCCTAGGCCTCATTTCATAGTTTCTTTTTTTACTCAAGTTATTAAGTTCGTTGGGGCATCTCAAAATTCAATACCCTTTAGTCTAAAGAACTGGAGAGCTATAGACCTAAAGCTCGCCATAAGAATCAAAAAGGAAGTTTAAGGGAGTGAGATAAAGCACGAGATTTAATTGAAAAAGAAAATAATTGTAAGCGTGCAATTGTATTTGATGTTTAGGTTTAGATAAATAGTGAGATACAATTACCTAGTATAAGTTTGAATGTGGAAGTACTCATTAGTGGAAAATCATTATATGTCTAGATGTTAGATTGTTAGTTAGACCAACCTAGCTAGAACGAAAAAAAAAAAAAAAAAGAGTGAATTGAGAGAAACCTTTAATTTCCACCTCAGAAAATAAAAGAAATATCAATTTTAGGAGTGCGAATCTCATGAGCAAGAAATGAAATATATGACCACTAAGGGTCGAGTTGAAGCCAATTTGAAAAATTTTCCATCTTGACAATTTTTTTCAAATTTAAATGATGATTAAAAGTAACTATGAACATACAAACCGATGGAACATTGGATAAACTTAAATTATTTTTGTTAGCATTATTTAGAGCATATTTGTGAATTGATCATACTATTTTACACTCATAGATAATTTTGTAAGTTATCTAATGTGTTGATCTTTATCTCATTTTGCTTGATTCTGTTATAGATAATCTTGCTTAGAACGAGCAAGAACTTAAATTTGGGGTATTTGATAAGTGTATTTATGCACAATTATTTAATACCTAAATATGCTAATTATTGATTAAAAGAGCAGATATCGGTTCATAATTGGGTAATTTTGGCTTTTTAGGTCATAGACCTCAAATGGAAAAAGAAGAACGCAAAATGGAGTGAAAATGGACAAAAAGTATACAAAACTGTGAAGTTGGGACCAAAATGCATAAGTGCAAAAGGTTGAAGGACCTCGGTTGCAATTTATGGAGAGCGTAATTGAATGAAAAGTCTAAATTTGAGGATCAAATTGTACAAGATTAAAGTTGAGGAAAATGAGTGCAAAAAGGAAAAGAAAAAAAAATAATGAAACGATTCATTTGGAGAGAGAGATGATGCCTAGGTGCCATGTACAAAAACTTGGGATCATTTTTATTGTTTGTTCAAAATATAGAGACTTAAATACAAATTCTCTAGGTTTTCAAAACTAAAAACTGGCAGCCTCATTCTATCTCCTTCTTTCATTAATTTTTCCTCTCTTCATTTTTCTTTACTTTCCTTTTTCTTTCTATCATCTTTCTTTTATTTTTAGTTTTTTTCCTTTTCAATTTCTTGGTGTTTTTGGAGCAAATCATAAAGCACAAAGAAAATACATTCAATTAGGTAAAGAATTTTTGAGAAAATCAAGTTCAAGCCTTTAACATCTTTAAAAATCCAACAGAAAGGGTTGTATATCGAATCTTGTATTTTCTTCATTATCGTTTTCTATTTGCAATGTATTGTATAAAAGATTTTCATTTTTATCATGTATTTAACATGGACTAAATATTTGTTTTGGGATTTATGGTAGTAGCTCAACCTAGTTTGGATTAATTTCACTATTTGCTTTTAATGTTTACATACTTATTTTCATGTGTTTCTACTATTATATTTCTTGCATTTTTATTTATCTGGCAATGAGTGATTATGTTTAGTGATTTGTATACCGTTTGAGAGAAGATTGTGTATTTTAATCATAATTGTAATTAAAGTATTACGACTGCACATATAATTAAATATAAACTAATTAGCTGTAGACTTTAAAATTAAGCCCCCATTTGAACCCCAATATTTGAAATTTTAATCGTTGAAATAGTGTTTGTTTAAAAAAATGTATAGTTGAAAAAGAAGAAAAAAAATTGGGATTACATGTAATATTAGTTCATTGATGAATGTGTGATTAATAAGAAGATAGATTAAAATAAATTATAATTTTAATGGGACCAAAATGGGCTAAAACTCTTAATTGGGTTTTAATTATGACTCCTATTTGAATGTGCAATTTTCATTTTATAAGGATTTTAACTATTATATCTCTATAAATAGAGATTGGATGGAATCTAGTTATCCTACTCCATGGTGTTCAAATTTGGAGAAAGAAAAAAAGAAAGTAATTATTTTCTTACTTATATTCATATGGTCAGCTCAAGAATTAGTTTCTTGATTTAATTAAAAAATGTGCCACCCACTAGGTGTAGTCTTAATTGTGGAGAATACCGTAGAATAGTTGAAGGTTTGAAACATCGAGTTCTTGGAATTAAAAGTTGAAAATTCATGATCTAAAAGTCTGGGAATTCGTAATTTAGAATTTACTCAAAATTTAACAATCGAATTTAGGTAAAAAAAAAAAAAAAAAACCGATTTCTTTATTCTTGATATAATATACATGTGAACTTTAGACGATCTCATTTATTGAATTAAAGAAATTTTTTAAATTTCCGATTAATTCTTCTTTCGCATTTCAAAATGAATATTTTTTGTATAATATAGGAAGTGTAATACTTGGTCCCAATTCTTTGCTTTTAAGGACTCAATGGCCATAATTATGCTAATTTGACTTGACCCTATTAATTTAATCAATATTTACTCAATGAATAATTAATCCTTTTATTTGGTTCCATTAACGATTTTTATCCTGAAATAGGAGTCAATTAAATTAGAAATTGGTGTAAACTACTTAACTTGGAATAAACTCACATAACATGAATATAAAGCGAAGGATTATTGGAACAAGTCAAGATTGTTAGCCAAATTGTAAGCATGCAATATAATAAAAATATCATACAAATTAATGAAATTTTAATGGAACTTAATGCATGTTAAATTTATAATTACTAGGAACGTCGATTGTTTATGGCGTTTAAGGTGCATTCCATTGCAGCAAATAGTTAGCCAAGACTACAATGATTAAATAATTCAATAGTAAATGTAATATAAATGCAACGAAGCAAGATAGATATGATAATAACTAAAATTAAGAACCTGGCTTTACAAAATTCTATCCATTAAAATAAATTTCGTCCTCAAGATTAAATTTTATCAAGTAAATGTGGGTATTTGGCAAAAATTTCCATAAAAATCTGTTCATGAACTTCAATATACAACATGCAAAGCATATGCAAATTAGAATGAACTTTAATCATGGACTTGAATTAAGTTTAAGACAACCCTTTTTTAAAGAATATAACACGTTTTATCATTTCAAATTCACTTTAGTATAACATATTCAAAATTCATGTAAGTCCATAATATAATTAATAAAAACTCATATTCATATTTCAACCTATCGACATAGCACACATAAATCTTATATCGAGATAAAATCCTATAAATAATATTTAAGTTCTAGTAGAAAAATACATTTGAAAGAATTTAATAATCATATGATTTTAAAATCAATTCAAAATTAATAAAATCAACTCAAGATAACGACTTGTGGTGACATGGACTTAATATTGAGAAACATAAATGACATCAATAAATATCAATGACTTATTAGTTTAAAATAATTTAAAATGAAAGGCATTTCTCAATATGTACCCACTTTTATTTAATTTCTTTAAAAACTTTAATGTTGACATCGTGAGTTCACTTGGAGTATCACTAACTAATCAAAATGCAGTGTGCAATTATTATATGAAACTCGATTCGCCCTACCAGCAGTATCGCAAAGTGGTTAACAATAACATTGTCATTAAACATTGGTTGGATGCCTACCCCTCATTTTCTATTCACGCTTTTCATGGCATGGACATACAGCTCATAATACAATATATTCGAGATACTTATCTATTTGAAATAGTCATTGACTCATTGACATTTGGAAATTTTTTATTTCTTAAAACTTCATGTATGCTTATAAATGCATTTGCATAAATGAATATGTCATGAGAAGCATTTATGACATTAAAAGTAATGATCAAATTTCATGTTCACGTAAGGACAATTTCAATAACATATTTATACATTTAAGCATGACATACGCATTAAAATAAAGAGATGTTTACTTACATTGAATCCTTAGGAATTTTTTTTTTTTTAAACAAATGAAGTTGTCCCTAGCTCCCGACAACAATATGCCATGAGTCCTATATCATTGTCATTTATTTGGGAACATGAACATACTTATTCTTTCTTTTTTTTCATCGGTAAATGTAAATTTTCATTGATCAAAATTTTTCATATACAAGTACACCGTGCATACCCAAGCAAACAAAAGCTAATATCAAATACAACTACTCTAGGGCATACCCGAGAGATACAAAATAAGTGAACTACTGAACAAGTCAATGACCCAACACTAAGGACTTGATATAGATCAAGACATCCAGATATAAAGAGAATATAACTTTGTATACGTGTGTCATGATTCGTCTCACAATGCAATCCAAGTTAGGTGAAAGGTCTTCAAAAATCTTCCTATTACGTGTTAACCAAATGTAGTAGACTGTACTTGCAAGTGCAATCCTCTTTGCCTTGCTTTGTCATGATGTCCCACAAGCCTCTTTTTTCAACCACTTAAGAGCACTAGCAATTGTTGACATAGATCTTTTGATGTTGAGCCAATGTCTAATATTCCCCCATATGGATGAAGTGAAAGAACATTCAAAGAATAGGTGACATCCCGTTTCCACCATATGTCCACAAAAAACACAATTAAGATCAATATCCAAAAATTGTAATTTATCTTTCCTTAGGGTTTAGATTGAACCCCTAACCAAAGCAAAAAGGAGTGCTTTGGAGTTATGCACGGTCTCCAAACATCGACAGCCCAAATCTTCTTTGTACCCCTCGGTCTAAAGAAATCATAGGCCATTTTTGTGCTGAATTATTCACCTGTCGACCAGCCATGAAAACTGTCCAGAAATCCCAGAAAACGGTTGCTGTTTTGACCTGTCGACCAGCCCTGAAATCTGTCCAAATTACCTTGAAATCGGCCCCTGTTTTGAGGAAGACCAGCATCCTGACTTGAGGTAAAAGCATCATTAACAAACAGGTTATTTCCACCATCCACCTGAACGAGCATCACATGTTGTCCTTGTCCGAGAAACTGGGGGGCAGCAACCATTTTAAGCCATAGATCTCTAATTTCCAGCAGTTTTTTGAAGAGTGGAGAGTGATCTTTCTTAGGTAGAACATCCCAAATGCAAGTCCCTTTAAGATAAACAAGGTGAACCCAACGTATCCAAAGAGTGTCCTTTTTATGTTGGATATTCCAAAGAGATTTAGCAAGTAGAGCTAAGTTCCAACTCTTCAAGTCTTTCAACCCGAGGCCCCCTTCATCCTTTGGAAGGCAAAGATCCTTCCACGCCACCAAAGGCTTCTCGGATCTCCAAAGAAATTTCCGGCCTAGGCTAACAATTCTTAAGATAATTGTAGCTGGGATAGGAAAAATAGAAAACTAAAAGCATTCAACTCCTTGGAGCATCGCTCTAATAAATTCCAACTTACCGGCATAAGATAAAGATGAGCAATTCCAAGCCCTAATATAATCAGCAATTTTATCAAGGAATAGAGCATAACAACTCACTTTGAGCTTCTCCGAAGCGAGAGGAATACCCAAGTAACGGAAAGGCATAGTACCTTTCGGTATATTTGTGACTTCCATGATATTATCAAGCTCATACCCATAAATTTTAGCTGTATACAAGCTGGATTTTAAAGTGTTCATCCTCAAACCCGATGCAAAACCAAAGTTGGTAAGGCAATCCATAAGAATTTGCACCGACATAACATCTCCCCTTGCAAAGAGCATCAAGTCATCCGCAAAAGCTAAATGAGTTATCTTTAAGGGGCTAGATTTGGGGTGATAATTGAATTCACTATCATTTGTGGATGCCTTAATCATTCTAGAAAAATATTCGAGACAAAGCACGAACAAAAAGGGAGAGAACGGATCACTTTGTCGAAGACCTTTCCCACCCTTGAAGAAGCCATGCATACTCCCATTCAAAGCTTTGGAATATGTTGGAGAAGTAATACATTCCAAACCCATTGTATAAATCTCAAAGGAAAGTGCAACCCTTCAAGTACTTCTTTAAGAAAATCCCAATTTACCAAATCATAAGCTTTCCTTATATCAATTTTTTGGAGGCATCTTGGAGCTACCCTCTTTCTATTATATTGTCTCATGAGTTCTTGGGCAAGATGAATACTTTCCGTCATACTCCTACCTTCAATAAGAGCGGCTTGTGGTTGATCCACAATGTTTCCCAAGATAGGCCTTAATCTAGAAGCAAGGATTTTAGTGATCTCTTTATAGATGACATTACAACAAGATATGGGCCTATAATCCCCAACACTAGGTGCGTGACTTGACTTTGGCCCCAAAGCAATGATCGTATGGTTGATTTGTTTGAGGATGGATCCCGATGAGAAGAATTCCATGATAGCCTCCACACAATCATGTTCAATAGTTCCCCATGCCGTTTTAAAAAAACATGAAGTGTAACCATTCGACCCGGGAGATTTATCATCTCCCATCCCAAATAGATCTTCTTTGATCTCATCACTAGAAATGTCTCGGATCAATGAGTTGCTTTCCTCCAAAGATACCAAAGGCCCGTTGTTAATAATTTCCATGTCAATAGGCCAAACCGGCTCTTTTTCCCCTAACAAGTTGGTGTAAAAATTGACAAATTCCCGAGCAACTTGGTCATGTGACGTAGTATACATCCCATCCTCTTTAATAATAGTAGTAATAAAGTTTCTCCTTGTGATCCTTTTCACCACCGAGTGAAAGAATTTAGTACACTTATCACTTTACTTAAGGAAAATGCACTTAGCTTGTTGATAATAAAAGCTACGTTCCGCTTCACATAATCCCATGGCTTTCTTTCTTAATCTTGCCACCATAACTTGATAATGCTCGTTTGTAGGTTGATCATGAAGTATGAGTTGGGTAGCATCCAATTCACTTTTAGCCTCATTTGCCCGAGTTGAAATGTGCCCAAAGTGCTTAATATTAAGCTCCTTCAATGCTCCTTTTAATTTGCGCAACTTCTTACAAAGAATAAATTGCTTTGTTCCCACCACATTAAAATTCCAGCTCGCTTGAACAATATCATAGAAGTCCTCGTGGTTTGTCCACATGTTAAAGAATTTGAATGATTTCCTAGTGTTCATCATATGGTCATGAATGGAAACAATGCATGGAGAATGATCGGAAAGGCATCCGGAAGGCAAAAAATCAGCAAAGACATGTGCACCATTTTGTACCCAAATGTCATTCACCATACCCTATCGAGTTTGCTCCGCACCGATTTATTAGTCCATGTGTAAAGCCAACCAACAAAGCGCACATCCGTAAGACCAACATGAAGGCAACAATTAGCAAAGTCTTTAATTTCATAAGGAGTAACTTCTGCCCCATTGCTTTTCTCATCAAATTTGAGCACATTGTTAAAATCACCAAGAATCATCCAAGGTAATGACACATTTGCATTGAAATTCATAATGTTGTTCCAAAGCGGTCTCCGGCTAACAATTGTATCAAAAGCATAAACAAAGCTAACAAGGAAAATATAAGATGTTATCTTGCAAGTAGCAATACAATGGATGGCTTGTGGGTTAGTCTCCAAAACTTCCAACTTGACTTTAGATTAATTCCACAAGATCAAAATCCTGCCGGCTCTATGAGTGCAAAAATTGTTGGCTTGCATGAAACCATCAAATTTATTCTGCATAATTCGGATCAACTTTCAATCTCCAAGCTTTGTCTCCAAAATACCCATAAAATCAATGCAATGTCGCTTGATAAAATCTCGAATCCCATTTTGTTTGAGGGGGGATTCAAGCCCCTAATATTTCAAGATGCAATCTTCATGATTTTGAAGCGAGGGAAGTTCCCTTCTTGTCAATTTTAGTTCCCATTTTCCTTTGCTCATTGACCTTTCCTTTGAGCATTTCATTGCTAGACTTATTAGAATCTGCCCATCTAACATTTGATGTAGAATCTGCCCCCAAATCTTCCCTTTGACAGCCTTCATCTGCCGACACTTGAGAAGGAGTAATACGTGCTGAATTTTTTCCATTTTTCCTGTTAACTACCTTAACAAAAGGGGAAACTGTCTGGTCATGAATCTGCCCTTGCTGGCCATCTACAACCTGTGAAAAATTCTGATTGAGGGACTGCCCCTGCTGGACATTTAATTCCCTATCTTGCTGTCCATTTTTTCCGGCTGAATTCTCATGAGATTTTGATGCTGTCTTGTCTGAAGATAGCTGCAAATTTGAATTTGTACACAACTTCCCAGCATGGACGTTCTTTTCTAGTGCAGCCGGCATGGAGGCTTTTGATGTCTCACCATTTACAAGCTTCCCCTTGTCAGCCATGGCATGTTTATTGTAATTGCAACCGAGAGTGGAATGCCCAAACACTTTACAAGAACCGCAAAATTTTGGTTCATGCTCAAATATAATTTCTTGCTCCCTCAAAATGCCATTAGGAAGCCTTATCTTTTCCACCCGCACAAGCTCAATAGATGCACCAACTTCAATTAGTGCTCTTGCATATGATAGTCTACCTCTACTTGCCATGACCTTATCGGTCGATATGGGTTTACCAACTTTGGAGACAATTTTACTCAAAGCATTCGTGTTCCAAAACTCCAATGGCAATCCCGACAAGTTGATCCATACCGGCATAGTGCTAACATCCTTATCATCAAAATCAAAGTAACGGGGCATGACTTTTAACATTAATGGTCTTCCATATACAAAGTAGGGACCACCATGCAACACACTTAGTCTTTCCAAGTCCGTCTCAAATTTGAAGACCAACCACCCGCTCGAGTGCACAAAGTATTTGTAATTAACCTTCCACGAATCACACAATTGGAGTAAGGCCACTTTCCCCGGAAACCTACTAGCAAAATACCCAACAAGCTCATATCCCCAAGTATTTTCAATATTATCTTCATCCGATTCACCCAAGACAAGTTCATCCAAATGATTTTCGGAAGGTTTTAACTTAATATTTTCCTCCATTTTTCTATTGTCTTTAAAAAGATTTACCCATGGAGCTTTTGTATCTTTCACACCATCAACATTAATATTTTTGGGTTCTTCAATTACACCGAATGCGATTCAAAATCAGAATTTTCAGATTCCGTATCATTTTCACCAAGTGTTAATGATACACTAGGTGAGGGCAGATTTACCTTATTATCCTCCACGAAATTGGTCTTCGAATTGGCAACAACACCCCCCTCCAACATCAGCCTGCTGACCAGCTAGGGGTTTAAGCGGAGCCAACCCACTATATTGGCCAGCAACAGATTTTTTCTTCCCCGTGCAGAACAGAAAACGGGGGCAGCTGGGAAGATAAACACGTGCAGGACAAAGACCCAACAGGAAGAAGAAAAACAGCCCAAAAAATTAACCCAATAGGAGATATACCAGCCCAACACGTTCAGGCCTAATCTGGCGTAAAAAAATGGGGGAGAAATGGGCCACCAACAGAATTCTGGGAATAAGAATAAAAGGCCCAAAAGGAGAGATAAAATACCCAAAAACCAGCCCAAACGTAGGCCCAATAAGGGGGGAAGGGCCGGGTCAAAGGTATAATAATGGCCCAAAGAAATCCAGCTGAAACAGGCCCAAATAAAGGACTCGACTCACACCGAAACCCAACAGAAAGTCTGCAAATAAATGTTTGAAAACTTTCCCAAAGAGGAAAGCCAAGGATCGCCTGATTAAACTTACAATGGCTCAAAAATAGATTGCAATTAATGAGAAATCACCCAAAATGGAAGCCCTTCAGACCGACACCAAAATATGCAATAAAAGAATCTGAAAATGGATGGACCAGTCTGCAAATCCAGGAACCACAGCTTTGACCAGAACAGTCCAGCAACGGTCAACAAGTTCAGAATCGAGAGACCACCAATACATACAAAATACATACAGTCCCAGCACAAGGAAGAATACCAAGAACACACGCTAGTCCCAGGCAAATCGAAAATCAATCCCAAACTGAAACTGAAGAAGATAGAACCTGAAGAAGGCTGGACAACCCAAAACGAAGCAACGTCCAAACAAAACCCAGCTGGAAAATACTGAAAAGCACCCACCAGACGTCCAACCAAGCAAGATGAAGAACTTGATTTCTACTTCTTCTTGGTGGAAATTGATTTTAACATTCTGGTTTTCATTCATTTTATGGTCCACATTTGCTCTGTTTTGGAGTTTTTCTTTTCGGATTTCTGGGTTGCCTTGGACTTCCGTAGTTAAGGTTCAGATTCGGTACTCTGCTTGCTGTGTGGTTCAGTTCCAGTTTGTTTGAGGTTTAGTGTTCGTCTGCCTCAAGTTCAGGATCAAGATTTCTGGTCGTTTCTTGGCCAGTTCAGGTTCAAGCTGGTGGTCTTCTGGTTTTCTTGCTAAGGTTGGTGTTCCCAGTTTGCTTGCGGGTCTCTTCAGGTATTCTGGGTTCCAGTTTGTTTCTTCTCACCTGTTTGTTTATTTGGTTCCCTTCTTGCTGGAGTGTTTTGTTCCTGGGTGTTCTTGGGGTCTTCTTGCAGCTGGGATTGTTTGTTTCTGTATGCTTCGATCGTGGTTATTGATTTGTGATTGTTGCTGGATTTTCTTGCTGGTCGGTTTGGTTTTCACTCTTGGTGCCGGGCTCCTCCAGTTTCCATCTTCAGTTTTCGAATTCTTGGATGTTTTCTCCTGTTGTGTTGGATGTTTCTATGGTATATCTATTGTGTAAGTATTAGCCTTGACTGATTGTTGCAGATTTGAATTTGGTCTTCCCTGCAATTTTTCAGTTTTGCTGCACACGGTCAGTGGTAGGTAGCTAATTCCTATTGTTTTTTTTTTTTTTATCGGAAAATGTAAATATCATTGATAAAAAATATTTCATATAGAAGTACACCGGGCATACCCGAGCGAATCAAAAGTCAATATCACATACAATTACTCCGGACATACCCGAGGAGACAAAAGAAAGTGAAATGCATAAAAAATCAATGACTCAACCGGATACAAGGTAAACATAACTTTGTGTACGTGTGTCTTGATCCGTCTCACAATGCAATCCAAGTCGGGTAAAAGGTCTTCGAAAATCTTCTTATTCTTTGTAAGCCAAATGTAGTATACGGTGCTAGCAAGAGCAATCCTCTTCGCCTTACTTAGCCATGAAATTCCACGTGCCTCCTTTTTCAACCACTTTAGAGCATTAGAAAGTGTTGACATAGATCTCATAATTCCGAGCCATCTCCTAATATTCCCCCATAAGGTACATGTGAAAGAACACTTAAAAGGAAAGATGGTCGTAAATTTCCACAAAATGCCCACAAATATCACACTTTCAATCAATATTCAAGAAAAGCAATTTGTCTTTAGTTAGGAGCTTTGATTGGGCTCCTAACCAAAGCATAAAAGAATGCTTTGGTGTGATGCACGGTAGCCAAACTTCGGCTCCCCAAGTTTTAAAAGTACCATTAGGCCTAAAGAAATTATAGACAATTTTTGTGCTGAATTTATCACTTGTAGAACAGCCCAGATTTTTGTCGAAAAATTCTAGAAACCGCATACAGAATGAAGCATTTTGCCCGCCTGTAATGCTGTCCAAATTCTGCCCATTTACCACCCAGTTCTCTGCATTCCCGGCACTATAAATTCAGTTCAAAATAGCATGCCGAGAAGGGGAAAAATCAGCCTCCATCTGACCTGACACCCCTTGCTGTCCATAAGTGAAAACCTGTTGGGAAGCACCATTTACACGAAGGATGTCCCTAATTTCCAACAGTTTTTTGAATAGTGGAGAGTGATCCTTTCTAGGACGAACCTCTCATATGCAAGTCTCATTAAGATAAACATGATATACCCACCGGATCCATAGAGTGTCCTTTTTATTGTGAATGTTCCAAAGGGATTTAGCAAGTAACGCTAAATTCCAACTCTTCAAGTCCTTTAATCCAAGGCCTCCTTCCTCTTTTGGAAGACAAATATTCTTCCACGCAACTAGCGGCTTTTTAGATCCCCAAAGGAATTTTCGACAAAGACTAACAATCCTTGATATAATTATAGCCAAAATAGGAAAAATAGAGAGCAAAAAACATTCAACTCCTTGAAGAACCGCCCTTATAAGTTCAATCTTGCCTGCATAAGATAATGTAGAACAATTCCATGCACCAATATATGTTATTATTTTGTCAAGAAAGGAGCATAACAACTTACTTTAAGTTTTTTTGAAGCGAGAGGGATGCCCAAATACCGAAAAGGCATACTCTTCCTCGGAACACTTGTTAATTCCAAGATATCCTCATGAAGCTATCCATGAATTCCAGCAGTAAACAAGCTAGATTTAAGAACGTTCAACCTTAATCCCGAAACCAAACCAAAATTTGAAAGGCAATCCATGATAATTTTTACCGACATAACATCTCCCCTAGCAAATAGCATCAAATCATTCGCAAAAGCTAAATGGGTGATCTTTTGCGGCCACATTTTGGATGAAAGTTGAAATCACTATCATTCGTGGCAGCTTTAAGCAATCTTGATAGGTATTCAATACAAATCACAAATAAGAAAGGCGAGAGGGGGTCACCTTGCCGAATACACTTCCTACCTTTGAAAAAACCATGCAAAGTCTCATTCAAAGCTATAGAATATGATGTAGAAGTGACACATTCCATAACCCAATGAACAAATGTCGATGGGAATTGCAACCCATGAAGAACGTCTCTAAGGAAATCCCAACAAATCGAATCATAAGCTTTTGAAAGATCAATTTTTAGGAGGCATCTTAGAGCAATCTTTTTTCCTATTGTATTGCCTCAAGAGTTCTTAGGCAAAATGAATGGTCTCCGTGATACTCCTACCTTCCACAAATGCAGCTTGTGCATGATCGACCATGTCTCCCAAAATGGGTCTCAATCTAGAAGCAAGAATTTTAGCAATCACTTTGTAAGTAACATTACAACAAGAGATGGGCCTAAAATCAACAATATGCGGGGTGTGATCCGATTTAGGCACCAAAGCAATGGCCGTGTGATTGATTTGTTTGAGGATGGAACCCGAAGAGAAAAATTCCATGATAGCCCCAACAAAATCATCACCAATAGTCCCCCAAGCATTTTTAAAAAAACAAAAAGTGTAACCATCTGGCTCGGGAGACTTTTCATCTCCAATATCAAAAAGAGAATCTTTAATTTCCTCATAAGAAATGTCCTGAATCAAATTGTTGCCTTGTTCCAAAGAAACCAAAGGACCATCAGTTAGAATCCATCTCAATAGGCCTAGTAGGGCAATTTTTCCCTAGCAAAGAAGTATAAAAATTGATAAATTCCATAGCAACTTGATGTTGTGATGTAGTATACCTCCCATCTTCTTTGAGTATAGTAGTAATAAAATTCTTCCTAGAATTCCTTTTTTAACAATGGAGTGAAAGAACTTTGTGCATTTATCACTTTCCTTAAGGAAGATGCACTTAGCCTTTTGGTAATAAAAACTACGTTCCGCTTCACATAAGCCAACGGTCTTCTTCCTCAATTTCGCAACCAAAAGCTGAAAATGCATATTCATGGGCTGATTATGTAGCTGTAATTGGGCAGCCTCTAAATCATTTTTGGCCTCACTTGCTCTAGCCGAAATATGCCCAAAATGCTTAAAATTAAGCTCCTTCAAAGCACCCTTAAGTTTTCTCAATTTCTTGCAAAGGATAAATTGTTTTGTCCCTCACAAGTAAAAATTCCAGCAAGCACTAATCAAACCATTGAAGTTCTTATGTTTGGTCCACATATTAAAAAATTGAAAGGACTTTTTGTTGTACCAACACGGTCATGTATCGAGACAATGCATGGGGAGTGGTCGGAAAGGCATCCAGAAGAAAGGAAATTTGCTTCAACAAATGCCCCATTTTGCACTCAAAAATCATTGACTATTGCCCTATCAATTTTGCTCCAAACCGACCCATTAGTCCAAGTGTAAAAAAACCAATGGAGCGCACATCCGTAAGACCCACATTAAGGCAACAATTTGCAAGA